TAGAGGCTGTTGGTTTCATTCCTCCGGTATGGAGAAAAGTTGCAAACATTGGTAAGATTACTCTAATATCTGAATTTGCAATTAATAATAAATTAAATGTATAGTCAATTAATAACACTGGTTAATATTTAGGATTGATTGAAATATGTAGTAACCATTGAGGAGCCTATGACACTGTGCATATGTTGATGGCATTGCCTTTGCTGCCAACAAATTGTATAGCTGAAGGTTTTGAAACTGTAAGGGCATACTATATTGAGAATGTGCAATCATTGATTACCAATAACAATGATTACAATTTTACATAATTATTTGAATATTATAGATCAACATGGCTTGCAGGTCTGGAAAATACAAAATAATAGTTTTAATATATTTTTTGTTCATACAACTAAACAAATTTATAACTAACCCAACACTATTTTCAATAGGAATAAATGCAGATATATTGTCGGTGAGTGACACAGTTTGGCGAACCAACAATGTTTTGGAATTAAGTCACAGACATCTCCAGATGCACATGCAAAATTGGCACAATCCTGAGCCATGGGTGTTTTTGAGTAATTATATTTTTATTTATTTAACACTAGAAAAGGAATATATCAATATTTTATATTTACAGAGGGGCTAATTACTTACTCGAATGGTGTTTTGAACGATTATAATGAGGTTACTGATGGTGGACAAGTAAGAGAACCGCAAGTTTGGATAGATCAGCAAAGGAATTTAGATAGATCATTGAGGCTGTTTATAGAAGGACGCTACTCAATGTCAGAATTTTTAATATATGCTAGGTATTCAACACCAACTTTTGGTGTAATACAGCCTCAACACCAAGCTATTGTAATACTTCCTGCAGCTGTCTTTCCACAAGCTCCACTAGCTTTATTACTACTCCCCATTGATCAGCATCAGGAAATGCAACTTCCAGCTATTCCTGTGCTCCCTGCTACTGCTTTACCACAGGCACCACTACAAGAAGCACCAGCTTTATTACCACTGCAAGTTGATCAACATCAGGAACTGATTCTCGATGAAATAATGAGAAGGATTTTACCACGTAGACCAGCAGTGCCCGTTCCTCGAGATCGTATGATTTTTCATTATAATATTACTTATACAGATTTCCAATAAAATATAATAATAAATAAATCGCTTGTCTTTAGTTTTTTATAATCTCGATGCTGAGGCAGTTTATTCAGATGAAGATGTGTCTAACGAACAGTTAGTGATACCATCAGTTATTCACATTGAACGTGTAGATTTGACAAGTAAGTAGTAATTATCTGAAATTTATTTCTAGCTAAAGTAATTGATTAAAAATAATGATGTTTTATTATTTTAAAGTTGTACCCATAGTAGAGGAAACATGTTACATATGTTTGTACAGTCCACCAACAGTAGTAGCGTATCCATGCTTACACCAAGGTCTATGTGGAGCTTGTCATGATAGCTATTCAAGAATGCCTCCGAATGAGCACAGGCCATATTATCGCTGTCCACTTTGTAGAGCTGGAATAGAAATCTACTATATATTAACATGACAATTATAATTAGTTATTTATCCTATCAATTAAATATCAACTAGCCATAAACCTACTTTCACTCTTTTATTTTTTAACAAATTAAACAAAATTAAACTAATTTTCTTGGTATGACATACATTTCAATCTAACTTGGGTTTTGACTGTTTTGAGGAAGTCTAACACAGTTTCTTGATGATATATCATATCCATATAAGTAACATATTATAAGTATACTGCAAGTACCTACATTGAAATTAAAATTGTTACCAATTATGTGTTCATTATCAATTGTGAATATAATCAGATGTGATTACATATAATTTACAAATACTCGGTCCATATAATATCTATGTCTATATATCTACTATACTGTATCACTGTTACTACTTACTACAAGTTGTAACAGTCCACTAGTCAACCTAATAATAGTTATTAAGAAGTTTTTAGTTAAATTATAGTAATTATTAGGTAGGTATTAAAATTAAAATGCAAAACTTACTTTTGAAATGACTGAAATAAATGATTACAGTCTATAAGTCGACATTACAATATAAAAGGTATTATTTAGCAGTAAGTTTCCGACGTTTCCGTTATAGAAGATTATGTTATAATTTACAATAGGCTACAATTTACCTACTTACAAGTCGCATTTCCTATGGACAGATGAGACCAGTACGTTGAAGGCTTGGAATAAGTTCACGTTCACACTCATTTTGTTAAAATGGAACTACTTAAATTCAGCTAGTTCCCGTTAAAGAAAATAACAAGTTCTTTTCCTCATTCCCAAATAAAGAACATTTTTCGTGCCTCAATCAATTTAAAATCGTATTAAAATAATAATAAAAATAAAATAATTAGGTTCTGTTTTTAAAATGTAAACCGATAAGAACACCCAGAATGACTTGACATTTTGTGAACATAGTCAATATCAATATATCATCATAGGATAGTAAGTAGTCTACAGTCGTGGTCAGTGAGACCGTTATAATTTTTCGTTACTCATGAAATCATAAATAATATGACCATGACGAAAAAACTTACTTCGACACTTCGTAGTTCGTCATGATATCATGTCCTACAATGAGAATTGAGAAAACCTTAGAAAATAATATTATAGTATTATACAGCCTATGAACTAAATAAATTGAAATAAATTAGTGATAGGTTGTGTATAAGAGATAACGGTTGTTATTTGGAGGTAAGATTATAAATTGTTACCTCCAACGTGTATTCATCGGTTTCAGATAAAAAAAGTTTAAACGAATGGATCTCAGCAGGAAAGAATTTCTCGGTTTGGTTCAAGTCCGCGCAAACGTCACGTGCTCGGTTGCTATAAAAGTAACAATAGTTTAGGTATCAAAGCGCCAAGCACTTATGCACTTTGATACGGACTCAGGGCCGTCCCGAACAACAATTCATGGGGGGGTGGTAGATCTATTAATTTGCCGACTGAACAATTTTTTTCTCGCTTCGCTCGAATACGTTTTCTACTATATTAAATTTATATTTATATTATTATTTAATTTCAGGGCTGGAAGTAGGTCACTTTTTTAAAATTGACTCACTTTAAGTCACTTATTTAGAAAATAAGTCACTTATGTCACTTATTTTCAAAATGTACCTACATTTATATTTAAACTGCATATGGCCACCAACTTTATATTTGAATGTACAGTAACATGCCTGAATCGCGGTAAAAAAAAGTCCCGACGAAAATGAATGAAAATATATCAAAACTGAAGTATAAATATATTAAAATTGTATTGAAAAATACATTTAAGTTACATAAAATATTATATAGGTAATATCATAAAAAATGTTAATTGCTTACTTAAATCATATATTAAATTATAATGAAATTTAATTTAATACAAGTCCAAAATAATAAAATGTAATACATATACAATAATCAATAATAAATATAATTATAGTACCTACCTATAGAATTATAATAAAAATGCTATAAAATAATAAAAATGTAATATTATAATTAAGTACACCTATTTCTTGTGTTATGACTTACGGCTGTTGAATAGGCTTGTTTATAGGCATATAACATATTATTATACCAATATCTTTGTTTTTATGTAATGTTCCTAATCAAACTTTCGTATATTTATTAGTCTACTACATTTGAAAAACCATCCGGGATGAATTCCTATTATAACAAACCATAGGCGTGTTTTTTAGTTATGATTAAAATAAAGAAAGTTCCTAAACAATGATCTTGAATATTATTCTAAATTATAAACATTATAAATTGAAATGGGTAATATGATTTAATCATTTGTTATTAAAATTTGTGTTTATTAATATCATTATTTTTTTGTAATTTCAACAAAATTAAGTAAGTTAGAATCAATTAAATCATAGGTATGTAGAGATTCAAAGACAAATGTTTAATAACTGTGAAGTTGTTACGAAACAAATGTATGTAGCTAACTTTTTTGTCACTTTTATGAATAAATTCAGTCACTTAGTCACTTTTTTAAATAGCCTTAACCCAGTGGCGGCGCCAGGGTGGGCCCGGGCCCACCTTAAAAAGTCTCCGCCCCCCCCCCCTGTGGCCCACCCCAAAAATTAAATTTAATCATATTAGAATACTAAAAAATATCTCATGAATAAATCATGATTTATTAAAATATGAAAATATTAAGTCATAATAGATGGCGTGAACAACATTTTGAATGGGTTGAAAACTATATGCACTATAATATGCTTTCAAGCCTCATAAATAACGTGTATTTTCCAGCGGCTGAATACGAAAATAATAAATTATTATTAAATATTCATTGGTATTGAGTGTAATTATGGGTTAGGGAGCATAAAAATCAAAAAGTGTTTACATGAATATATATTTTGTTAGCAAATAAATACTATTAATACAATACATGTTTACAAATCATTGTTTTAGTAAGTTTACACGATGAAGTGTAAAAAAAATTGGAAGTTGACCCTCCCCCTCTCCCCCCTGCGAAATTGCCTGTCATCACTATTGTTTATATATATATATATATATATCAAGTCAACAATTTGGCCCTCCCTAAAAAATTTGGGCTCCAGCCTGGCCCACCTGGTATTAAAGTTCTGGCGCCGCCACTGCCTTAACCACTTCCAGCCCTGTAATTTATACCATTTATTTATGACCAATGACCATCAGGGTTTCTTCGACAAATCCCAACCCACAAACACACATGTAATGTGTTCCTTAACCAACCGTAATTCCCCTCACAAATAGTTGCCAATGGTTAAGACCAATAAACGAAGAAAAAAATTTCTTTACTTTATTAGTTGCTCATGTGAAAATAAAAATATTAGGTACCTAACAATTTATCATAATTTTACAACTTCCACATTCCATTTACCCAAATTAATAAAAATGTGTACTTTAAATCTTAATTAAGAACATGTTATAAGTATAATACCTATCAAATATTTTTATTAATACAATTTATAATAATATTATACATACAATTAGATATTAATTCTACGGTTTTTCAAAGTTGCCCATAATGTTGCTATTTTGTTCATATCTAATTGATCAACCACATCTTTTTCCACGCTTAAAATCATAAGTGAATCCAATCTATCATCAGCTATAGATGATCTTAAATTATCATTGTCAAATGTTTTGCCACATTCCAAGAACTCTAATTTAATCCGCTTTCGTTTGCCGGAATTTGTTTCATTTTTATTGCCAAAATTCATGATTATTTAAACAGTAAAATGCAAAATTATATGAATAATAAGAAAAAATAATCACATAATATTAAAATTATAATAAATAGAAGACTAAACAGTTAATTTCTAGTAGGTAACTACAGAACAAGTTACCACTAACCTCGGACGAATAGTCGAATAGACGACAACTGATAACTATCGACTGCAAATGTGCAACAAATTTCAAGAATAATAAAATTATTTTTTTTTTAATACCAAGAATAAGTCAATACATACGACTACGGGTAACAGTTTGTACAACACTCGCGTAATGCACTGATAGTAGATAAACACATCTATTTTTAGCATTCGGTGTAATCGAAGTGCCGACATCGTCGTCGTCTTATCTTTTATAGAAATATAATATTATATACAAATATATTTTGAAAATAATAAAAATACTATTAAAATACTGACGATGCCAAATTTCCGACAACTTTTACCAAGTGTCCAATTTGCCGACTAAATATTTAAAAAATCATGAGTGGGGGGGTTAGACACCCCCCCCACGCCCCCTCAAAGGACGACCCTGGATACGGTGCGCAACCGACGACCAGTGCAAAGTACCTATCTGCACTACACGCCACCACTGGCTACGAACGCGACATCGCCAACTCTCCCACCACGCAGCAATGGCAAGGCGGGACGGGGAGGCAAGTCGCGTAGAGCGAGTACCGGCGGCCAGTGGCGACCCTCTCGTACGTCGACCGTCTCGCCGACAACAATACTCTTGACCGGGTGTCCGAGTTACCGACTACGCCGATACCGACTACGCCGATACCGACCGTCTATTCGTCTCGACTTTGGTAAAAACAGATGATAAAAGTGTAAAATAACTCTCCTGTCTTTACACACAAATAAATAGCCAGGCACTCCGTAATCGAACTGGTGTTGCGTTCTCTTTGATTTGGTTTCCTCTCTCTCCTTTGTGAGCGTCAACACCGTCACCAACACTCTACGACCGGCTTACCGCGGGGACACCACTCAATCGCCGCTGTAGCGGTAATCGGAAAAAAAAACCCCCGAAAAAAAAATCCCCCGACGAACAACCACGGAAAAAAAATCCCCAGCTACAATATTACTGACAATCACATGCAAATGGTTGAACAAATATATTTTGAACGTTAATTAGTAAGTATCTATGATTAATATTTAATGACAAATACGTATATTATATTATATAATAGGAAAAAAAATCCCCAGACTACAATATTACTCACAACCTCTTGCAAATGGTTGAACAAATATTTTTTAAACGTTTATTAGTATCTATAATTAATATTTAATTACAAATACGTATATTATATAATATAATATACGTATTTTTTTTCCTAGGGTATCGGATTTTTATTCCGGGATTCGCTGTAGCCGCATCAAATTGGCTCTCCGCTGAGGATATCTCCCCAAGTCACCACCACCTCAAGACAGCGAAAAAGGTAAGAGTTTTCACGCTGACACATTATACCTCGTTATATTTGCTTTAGGTATTACATTAGTATCAAGATATTTAACCAGGAGTGTGTCTACCGGTAAGCTAGGATCCCCGACATTGCATTACGTAAGAACTATTTTAGTCATAGATATTAAAGAATAATTTAATTAAAGAACAATTTAATATCTATGATTTTAGTACACAAGGGGGAAATCCGCGCAACCGAGTATAATCGTGATACGGCCGTGGGAAGCATTTACATAACGTACCGCTACCCCGCCGCAACGCCTACCTCCTTCAGTTACGCTATTATTATTGGAACACATCGCCGCCGCCAGCTGATCTCTGTTTACGCTAACGCGACAATCAATAAATAGATAAACGTCGTGCCAAAATTCGCGTACACAAGCGCAAATAAATAAAATCATTTAACGAAAAAAAAACAAAAACACACAACCACACATATACTGTGAATCGCGCGGCGAGCCCAGCCACCGAACAGACAACACCACAACGATCACACCGGAAATATAATATTACGATATGAGTGATAAGACGTTGTCGGAGTTGACGTCGGCGGAACTACGTGTAGAATGCAGGGCCCGCGGCCTCAGTATCTCCGGTTCGTAATAATCAGGTGAGAGCAGGAAACCCAAAGACGTGCGTTTCTACTACGAACGGGAACCAACCAGGTCGACAGGGAGGCATGCCTCCTTCAACAGTCCGATGGAGGTTTAGCAGTCTCGCAAGGACCACAAACACCAACGGACAGTCGACCAGGACAGAGCATGTCCCAGCCGACCATGCAACAGGGCCGGTTCGTAACCGAAATAACAAGTGACACACCTTTGAAACCGCCGCTGCACAAATAAAACAGCTCAGACCAGGCACGGCGCCAAGGGGGGGCAAGGTGGGGCTCTAGCCCCCCCAGAAAACAGATCAGCCCCCTCACCAGCCCCCCCACTGAAAAAAATGTACGATATAATTAATGTTTGTTGTATACAGTTAAAAATATTTTTAGTTGACTTATTATTTTAAATATGTTTATGTTTGATTAACACAATACTATTGTGTAAGGAGTTGGTATTCGTACCTACCTACTTATATTAGTTTAGTAATTAGCATGACAAATTTCTTATTTAAAATAATTAAATAATTTATTCAATTTTCTTATTTTGTTATTTTTATAATCTTATTTGTCATGGTAATTAGTTCACATATTACTTGATAATTAATAAAAAAGGATTTCTTAAAGTATCTATGTTTTAATGTATATATATGAACTATTTTAACCTCCAAAATTTAACAAAAAATATAAAGTGGGTACTTCAATAGTCAATATATACACTACTATGCAAATACCAATTTAAAAATGTATTGAATTAAAAATTTTAAATGTACTAGTTAAATATAAGGTAGGTAATCAAAAGTTTTTATTTAAAACAAATTGTATTCCTACTGATTTTAGTGCAATTGTATACATTTTTGTTAACTTTTTCAATATTATAAGATTTTCAATCATTTACTGTATGGTGCATAAACAGATATTGTATAAAAAATCAATATTTAGCTCATAAAGAAATTATTATTTTTGTATATCATGTTATCATTATGAATATAGTTGTTGAAGGTCTTAGGTCTGTGATTAAATATTTTCTTACATATTACATAAGGTACAAAAAAAATATTTGATATTATTCTTAAAACATTTTTAACTATTCAAAAGTTTGTAAATATTATATGTTTAGACGTTTAGAGCATACAATATAAAACGTATGTACTATATAGCTAATAGCTATATTATGTTATATGATACGAAAATATTTATATTTCATTTAAATAACCTCAGCATTTGTTGAAACAATTTTAGCCCATGTAAAAAAAATATTTGCCCCACTCTGCCCCCCCCCCTGGAAAAAAATTCTAGTGCCGTGCCTGGCTCAGACTAGCAATGCCGTCAACTAGCGACTCACAAACGTGTGAGGAAAGGTTACGGGCGCTGGATACATGCATGACGCGTTTCTACACGGAAACAACAACAATTCCGTGTAGCCCCGCTGTTTCAAAACTACCCGTACGATATAAACTTGCCTACAAAACCTACTTAAAGAGTAAAGACCATAAAAAATCTTTTATTCAAGTTTATTTGAAGTTTTTTTGTACTTCTCAAGTAGTATCCAATATCAGTGGCGTAAATTGGGCTAAATTGTTAGGGTTGCAATCAGTTTCTAGGTTGGACAGACTTGTGGGGGGCTTTGCCCCCCACACCCCCCTAAAATATTTTTAATTTATTCTAAATTTAACATTACAATCTGTACATAAATTCAACAAAACTATTTTAACACATATTGTGTCTATTGGTAATTGGTATATTATATTATGTATATACACCTATAAATAGGGTATATGATTACTTACTGTCAATAAAATAGGTATAATTTTCTTAAACAATATATGAATACATAAAAAAAAACAATTCTTTTATTTTATAAAATTTATATTTTAAATAACAGCTGCCATTTAGATTTGTTTTATACCCTTTTTATACTATAATACCAAATACCTATATAGTATATATATATATATATATATAGAAGAATACAGGACAAAACTGATTAAAAAAAGAAAAAGGTGGGTAAGTGGATGTCGCTCTGCCGTACAGTAGGTTACAAGTGGGTCACTGTATAATGGATGCTTTTAAATTTGAATTCAATGATACAATATCATTGTATAAGAAAAACGATTCTGAGCGAAGACGGTATGTCAGTCTAGGTTTAAGACAAATTATATACATATCTATGGTATTAAAAAAAAATTGACCTATAATAAATTCCAAATTAATCATATCACATTATCACAATATCCATTAGGTACTTATAACACGTTATACATCAACATCAATAACAATCCCTGATACTATCATAGATACATAATAGTACACTTTAGAAGTTTCAAGTAGGTACCCACGAATAATATTATATAATCACAACAAAATAATTAGGTTTTTTAATATGTAATTTCGTCCAAATTTGAACATAAAATGACTATAAAAATAAACTGTGATTGTATATTTTTTTAGATTTTACGGTAAGAAAATTAACTGCTTACGTGGAATCTTGTTTTAAATTTTCAATTCTTAACTATAAAAACTGAACATTTTATAATTTATTAATTACGATGATTAATAATTTTCGAGATTTTGAAAAATTCTGTCAAAATTCGATGTTTAAATGCTTATAAAAAAAAATTGTGCCTATGTATTTTTAATATTTTTCAACTGATATTGTAACAATATATCAGGAGCCTTCTATTAAATTTTTACACTTTTTGGCCAACAGATAAAACTTTATTGATATTCATAGAAAAAAAAACTAAAAAAATTGAAAAATGAAAATATCCGTAAACAGCTCAAAAAGAGTCAAAATATTTTCAAAATTGTATGGTGTATAGGAAATGCTAATATAAACATTCAGTGAAATTTTCATGTATCTACAGTTATTCGGTTTTGAATTACAACAAAATAAGGAAATCGCTACATGAGAAATCGAGTGAATAT